GGTGGGGGGACCCGGGAGCGAGGGCGCCGATCCGGACCGGGGCTGTTGGCTTTGGCTTCCTTCCCTCGACCGTCCCAAATTGCAAGTAAACAATACGTCGGCTGGGAGAACGCGCGCGTCCGAAACTACCCGGGGCGGCCTGCGAGCTGGCGCGGAGGGCAGCCCCGGGCCGCCGGCTCGGTAGCGGGTCCTGCTCACAAAAGGGTTCGTCTTGGAGACGGGGCTGGTGGGGACCCTGGAGGGCGGTGGGGACACTTCTGGGTCCTAAGGGCAGGGCAGGGGGTGCTTCGATGAGGATTGAAGTCGGAGAAGTAGTGTGTGTGCGCATGGGGGGGTGGTCACGACACCCCCCCCCCCTTCTAGTAAACACTGTTTTTTGAAACAGTGGCAGAAAGGGTCTTAAGTGAGCGGGATTCGGTATTGCTGGTTCTTTAAAAAATTCCTCTTGGCTTCTAAGTCTTTTGTTCCAATCCAAGAGAAATCCGGTGAATCACCTAATTAAAATCGAGACATGAATTAAGCATCCATTTTTGTACTACAAACTGCCAGCGCTGCGTTCGTCCCTCCCTTGGTCTCCATTAAAAAACACCAGAGACGTTGTTAAAGGGAGCAGGTTTTGCCTCTAGCTGCCAGTTCTGCTTTCTATTTCACTGACTATCCCAGGACCTAAATTGCTTGGCTATGTAATTACTAGAGTATAAGCCTATTTAACTTAAAAGCTTTCTTTTTTTTTCCAACTCTAAATGAAACTTGATGAGGGCCCGTCCTTAGTTATCAGGGGAGTCAGTTTCTGGTCAGTCTTCTTGATTCATCTCTTTTAGATTTAATCAGCATTAAGGTATTGCTTGTCCTTAAGAGCTTTAGCTAATGGGGTTACTGGATGCTTTTCTCAGTGTAATGTTTCCTTTTCAAAAAAAAAAAAAAAAAATATATATATACATATATATTTACCTCTCGCCAAAGATGGGGGCGGGGAAGAGCTTGGAATCTCCTCCCTCCCTCTCCCCTTTTAAAAAGGAATTCGGAGCGATTAAAACGTGGGTTGGGGGTGGGGGACAGTTTAAAGACCTAGGGCAGGAAATGCAGATTCATTTGGGTTAGGGCTGAAATTGTAACAAAAAGCAATTCCTCGAGTAAATGCATCAGATAAATCAATTTACATAAAGGTATGATGCATTCGGATAAATGCAATGCTAATGGGTTTTAGAGTGGTCCTGTTTCCAAAGTCTCAGGGTTTTGTTACAGCTTAATTGGTGCAGTTCTTATTCTGGTTTATTGTGCGGTCACTGGACACACGTTCCGGGACTCTTTCGGAGGAAATGTGTTTAAAATCGGCCTATTTAAGGAACCCGAGTCCTGGTTTCGTTCCCTCTTCCTCGTTTTTTTTGCAGCAGCCAAGTTGGGCCGGGGACAGGCAAAGTTCGCCTTCTCCCTTCTGAGGTATCAGCTGAATGTCTTGAGCAGATAGCCGGGAGCCTCGGGGGGAGCCCACACTCTCGGCTTACCGAGGACAAAGACAAAACAGGCTGCTTAATTGGCAGTAAATAACTTGATCTTTTTATAGAATAAGTGACTGGAGGAACACTAGGACTTTATTGGACTCAGGATTGGAGGCAACAAATTAATCGGTTTAGGCTAAGCTTTATAAATTGATTCCTATATTATACCCCCGTTGCTTCTCTCGTGGCATTCATTAGAAAGAGTGGGGAATTTTTAAAAGCAGTTTTGGGTGACAGCAGGGCTGGCTCCAATTTAACTTGTGCATCCCTTAATAGCGCCTTCTCGCATATTATCAGCACACCCCCCCCCCCTCCCTTTAGAGGAACAAAGCTCTAGCATTTAAATTGCTGATCAAGGGCAGATTAGTGAGACCAAAGTGGAGAGTGTTTGTATAGGAAGTTAACAGGCATCCTAAAGTTCAATGATCTATTATTCTTGCCTGTGTCCTGAAAACCCAGAGAAAACACTCATTGATCTTCAAAATGAAATGAGATTTGGAACAATAATGGGAGATGGCGGTCACCACAATGGCATGTGAAAGGTGCTGCTTAAAATACGAAAAACCAGTTTCGCAACTTTGCACACCGCA